GAAAACATTTTCCATATGTTAAAAACATCACTCATAGCCCTAACCGGTTTGGCTCAGTGGATAGAGTGTCGGCCTGCAGACTCAGGGGTCCCAGGTTCGATTCCAGTCAAGGGCACATACCCAGTGGGGAGTGTGCAGGAGGCAGCTGATTGATGATTCTCTCTCATCAATGTTTCTAACTCTCTATCCCTCTCCCTTCCTCTCTGTAAAGAATCAGTGAAATGTATTTAAAAAACAAACAAACAAAAAAACATCATTCACTGATTTGCAAATTCTTACATTTGCAAAATTAAATGCTGCCCGATTAAAGTTCACAAATAATATAAAGAGAAAAGAAGGTGAGGAAACTTCAAAAGACCAAGAACCATAGTGGGCCGAAACCGGTTTGGCTCAGTGGATAGAGCGTCAGCCTGCGGACTGAAGGGTCCCGGGTTCGATTCCGGTCAAGGGCATGTACCTGGGTTGCGGGCACATTCCCAGTGGGAGATGTGCAGGAGGCAGCTGATCGATGTTTCTCTCTCATCGATGTTTCTGACTCTCTATCTCTCTCCCTTCCTCTCTGCAAAAAATCAATAAAATATATTAAAAAAAAAAAAAGAACCATAGTGCGCCAGTTCAAATTTACTACCAAGCTATTTTAGGAATAAAGATGTTGTGACTCTATACTACTGAAGAGGATCTCCAGAGGCAGGTACAGGCAAGTCTATTTGAAAAAGTTTCACAGATTATTTCAATCGTAAAACCAGAATTGATGACTACTACTGTAGACAATCTCATCTTTGCCCTGACTTTATTTACCATCTGTCATCTCTCCCTAACTTACTACCAACACCCAGTTACTACTTCTGACCCTGGTGTAAAACCCATTCTCTACAACAGCCAGAGTAACCTTTAAAATAATGTAAATTAGATCACCTCACTTCCCACTGCACTTACATAAACTTCTTACCCTGGAATATAAAGCCCTGCACTGACACCTGCCTCTCTTACCAAAGCTCGAACCATTCTTACCCTTACCTACTCTACTACTGCAACACTGGACTTTTTTCTTTTCTCCTCACACCAGCATCTTTCCCATCTTAAGGTCTTTGCACTGGCAATTCCTTCAGTGTAGATCTTCCCTCTGATCATTACTTGGTTTGCTCCTCCTTATCACTTATATTTCAGTTTAATGTTCCTTCTCAAGGAAGTCTTTCTCCAATCAGCCTAGAATCATTTACTATCTCAAAACCATTTAAATATTTTCTAAATAGCACACATCACTATTGGAAACTAATTTACACACATCCTTACCTTTTTTATTTTTATTTTTATGTTTTTTGTTAACCCTCTCCAGAGGATTTTTTTCCATTGATTTTTCAGAGAGAGTAGAAGGGGGAGAGGAATGGAGGGAGGGTGGGAGAGAGAGAAAGGGGGCGGGAGAGAGTAACATCGATATGAGAGAGAGAGAAACACATCGAAGTGAGACACATCAACTGGTTGTCTCCCACATGTGCCCTGACCAGGGGCCAGGGATCGAACCTGCAACCCAGGTACATGCCATTAACGAGGAATCAAACCCGTGACCCTTCAGTCCACACCCAATGCTCTAACCACTGGGGACATAGTTACCTTTTTAAAAATAATGTGTATCTCCCTTCCATTAGAATAAAATTTCTATGAGATCAAGTCTGCTTGTTTACTGCCATAGCTCCACAAGTGCCTAATCCAAATGCCTACTTGATTGACATCTCCACCTGAATGTCTTAAAGGCAACTGCATATATCCCCAAATAGAATTTACAATCTCCATACCTCCTAAAATATCTGGACCTATCAGCTTATGTTTCTGACGTAAGTGAATAGCAATACCCCACAGTAGCATAAACCAGATATTTAGGGGCCATCCTTGATACTTCCTTTTCCAAGTCCTATTGTAAATTTGTCTTTTATATATACTGAACACATCCACTCTGTCCCCCTCTCTTCCAACATCACTACCCCATCCACTGTCTAAATTACCATTTTTCACCTGAATTACCCAACTAGTCTACTCATTTCTCCTCCGGCATCCCTCCAATCCACTTGCTCCACTGCAGCTATATGATCTATTCAAATACAATCTGATTTTATCACTTTCCTATTAATATTCTCTAAATCGCCTGTTCTAGATTCTCTGGCTCCATTTCTCACCACTTCCCCATCCAATTGTCCATCAATTCATTCAATAAATATATACTTAGTACCCACTGACAGGCTGATACAAAATGGACAAAGATCCTGATTTCATGAAGCTTATAATCTAATAGGGGAGGTTATCACCAAAGAAATCAACAAATACTAAGTTATAATCACATAGTAGTAAGTACTAAAATGAAGAATAAAGCAGGATACATTCATACAATAACTGTTCACCATAGAGCATAATAAAAAACTGTGGACACAGTTTTGGGTTGTCTCAATAATGAGAAGATGCTACTGGGGGACTCAGTGGGCGGAGTCCAGGGATGTTGACTGTCCTGCAATCCAGGACAGTCCCACACACAAAGTGCTGTTCTCATCCCATGACACTTTCCCATTTCCATGTAGGTGAAAACCTGCTTATAATTATCTACATCCTAAGTCTATTTTACATACAAACATAAAGAAGTTTCATGTGATTTTAATATACAGATTTCCCAGAAATGGAACTATCTTATAAAGTGAGGGAAGACTATATACTTTGTTTAGTTTACAACTTTACTAAGTTTGCATTTTTAGTTGTCCCATTAATGATACTATGTGTGTAAGCATCTAACTCCTTCAGTATATCTTTATTAATAGAGTTGTGCCTGGGCATTCACATTAAATATATATTGATTTATTATAAATTATTTTCACTTATTTCTTTGTCATTTACAATTAAGGTATTCATTTAACTTAATTATACATATTGGATGGTAATATGCACTAATTCATTCATTTGAAAAATATTTATTGAGCACCTACTTATTATGTTCTAATCACTATTCTAAGTACATCAGATACATTGGTGGGGAAAAAATATCCTAACATAATTGTAATAAATAAGTAAATGTTTTAGTCTGTTAGAAGAAAAAGTAGACTAGGTAAGATGGGTTGGGAATACTGAATAGAGTGAGTGTATAGGATGCAAAATTAAAAAGGGTGGCCACTAGTCCTCATTGGGAAGGTGAAAGCTGAGCAAAGCCCTGAGGTAAATTAGACAGTCAAGTCAAAAAGGACAAAGGTTTTAAGCTAGGCACATATATGGCATTACTGAGGAACATTAAGGAGACCAGTGTGTCCATACTACTTCCTAAATATCTCTTCTATTTCTGGATTGTAATAACTTCTGTTTAAGTCTGTTCAAAGACTAGACTATAAATTCCACTAAGTCAGAGACCATGTTTTCTCCTCTTAACATCATCAAAGCTACACAGAGTACCAGATACACAACAGACACCTACTAGCTGTATGAAGAAAATAAGTGATGAGGCAACTGATACCTGAAGCTCAGAAAAATAAGATTGGAACTAGAAGCCAGAAAAGAATTAAATGACTGAAATGATAGCATAATAAAGTCAAAAGAAAACTAAACTGAAATCTAGACAAATCCCAAAGGTAAAAGTATTAAGCTATAACTGTATTTAAAGTAACAAAATAAATTTAAATAAAAATCTTGTAAGTAACTAAATTTGCATTCATTCCATCTGGCTTTTAATAAAATATATTATGCAATATAATCTACTTGTAGGTTCAGATCCAGATTTCTTAATAAAACACTTTATCTGCTACAGACTAAGTATTCTTGTACTAAAACATATGCATAAAGCTACTAACACAGTGGTAAAGTTGATTTTAACAAATCAGACTTCAAGGCTGATAGAGTTTAAAGACAATTTAGAGACTACCTACTCCAAGTATCTCATCTCAGAGATGACAAGTTGAGCACTAGAGAATTGAAAGGATCTATCAAAGTTCAGAGCACATTAGTGATATACTTGCTAGGTTTAATATTCTGTTATGAGTAGATACCAAAATGATTTATATGACTTTTTAAACATTAAAAGAAATACTATAACTAATATAGTACTTCAAGGAAAATGATAGGATCAATGTCTACTGTATTTCTGGGCTAGGTAAAAATAAAATCATTTTTATATTCTGTATTTAAAATAACAGCCAGCCTGAGCATCGACCCATGAACCAGCAGGTCACAGTTCAATTCCCGGTCAGGGTACATGCCAGGATTACAGGCTCAATTCCCAATGTGGGGCATGCAGGAGGCTGCCAATCGATGATTCTCTCTCATCACTGATGTTTCTGTCTCTCCCTCTCCCTTCCTCTCTCTAAAATCAATAAAAAATATTTTTAAAAATTAAAAAAAAATTGGAATTCCATTTAAGAAAAACCTAAATGGCCAAAAATAAAATATATATACATACACACCAAGCAACCGGAATGCCGGAACAACTGGAACGACCAGTTGCTTTGATGCTAACTGCGCCCTGATCAGCCCCCTACCCTAATCAGGGGTGGGGCTTTTTTTTTGCAGGGCCAGCTGGCCAAATTCCCACATCCCTCCCCCCACCAGCCCAGCCCCGATAGGGCAGGCTGGTGGGACCCCACCCAAGCACAAATTCGTGCACTGAGCCTCTAGTTAATAATAAAAAAAACTAAGAATTTGCTCTGTTTTTTTCCACTTAACAGTAAATTTTGGCATTAGTTCCTGTTGTCCCTAAAACTAACACATTCCCCCAAATAATATCAAAAATCCGTATCTAATTATTCTTAAGTTGTCTCATTTATCAAATAAAATTAAGATGAAGGAAATTTCCACTAAGAGGACAAGGATTTTTTTTTATAATCAATATTGATATGATTACAAACTATACTTTGCACACTTAAAGATAAAGAATTATTAGTCCATTGTTTCAACATATTAAGTCTTGAATTACTAATCTGAAATTAATTAAAGAAAAAAATCTTAGAGCATTAAAACCCCACACCTGAAAGACTTACCATTTTATCTAGATGTTCAATGGATCTATAAATCTCCCCCTGGGATTCATCATAGTAACTGTAACGGAACCTTTGACCTTGAAACAAATATCATGTACAAAATAAAATAGGGAAAAATTAGAAGCTAAAAAGAACGCAATCGCTTACCAAATAATTTCAGTTCTCAAGGAAGGCAAAGCACAGCTTAAGCCTCTGAGAAAATCATTCCCAAGAGCCCTTGGTACATAAAAATAAAAGGCATATTTGGGAAGGTAGTAAAGAGATTATATATCACCAGTGTTTTATAATGTTAAAACTATTTCAAATTGTAAAACCTTATAGCAATACAAAAGACTAAGGAAACAAAACAGCTTAGAAGTTAGAAGCATTGTTAAATATATTATATCAGTCTAGAACGGAGAGGAAACCCAAAGAGTGTGATGCAAGAAATTCTGGTTTAAAAAAACTCACTGTAACAAGCCAATGAAAGCTTAGCTTTTGCTGTACAAACGGAAGATCTGATCTTATTACAGAAAAAAATAGAGTGTAGGTCAGAGATACAGGTGGTTTGTGTGCTTTTTATCACCTCAAAAAATTGTGTCTCATTTTCGCAAACCTTTCTACTTGGAAAAGGATCAACAGAAGTGCCTTAAAATAGAATTCACAACACAACAGTCCTAATCTGACAATAAGATCTCATAAGGGTGCAAACACAGAGCATTCGATGGTTAGCCATTCTCCAGAGGTAAAATAGAAGAAGCTCAAAAAGAGGACAGAAAACGAAAGACTGAGGAGATAAACTTTGCTTCCTACTGAAGTCAGAAGAAAACCTAAAACAATGTGTCCTAAACCCACATAATTGTGAGTATTATTATACTGATTATGTTGCATCTAAATCTTTATTTCAGCAACACTCTTATTTCCAAGAACTCATTACTTTTCTATTTCTTTATTTTAAAAGATTTACCAAAATGCATTTTGGAAAATATCACGGCACACCAATCATGTATGCACACACTATGTGTCTTGTGCTTCATTTTCAGATCAAGTTCACATATCCAATTATTATTCTCACACCTGAGAAGACAGATTTCTTAGACTGGATAATTAAGATTTTTAAGTTTTCTGTTTATCTTGCTAAAAAATATCATGTTATAAATAATGAACGGTGCAAAATTATAAAACCCTTTTGATGTCTTTTTTTGAAAACCCAGATATCATGTTTCTTAAAACTTAATTGTTGATGCTGACCATATTTAATGGTCACAACTCTACACTATATATATTTCCTTAACTGTCACATTTTAACTTTTCATATACATTATTATGTACAAGTATTCAATGTTTATTTTCCCCCAAGAGCCATTATTAAATCAATACTGCATCTTACATGATATCCTAGAATCAAGCAACAGGTTCTGAGACAATTGTCTGCTTTCTGAATATAAAAACCTATTTGTAAACACAGATCCACTATAGATCTTGCACTGAAAAAGTTCTTAGACAGTGACAGTTCTTCACTCAATGCACCTATATTAAGTAATTCATCAGACATTTCTATCAAAATTTAAAAGTATAGATTCTTTTGTCTTTAAAGAATTTATGTATTTCCTTCTATGAATAATGAAAATTATATAATTTACCCCATTTTTCCTCTTTGCCAGGTGACTGTCAGAAGATTCAAAGACAAATCTACAACCTGTCATAATAATTTATTGATTCAAATCAGTGGTATTAAACATCCACTTCAATTTCAAGTTCTTTTGACAAAGTTGCCCAAAATCTTTGAGTGAACAATTAAATGAACAATCTTAGACAAGGAAATTCTGACTCAATATCACTGTAGTAATATCCTGGTAAGAAATTAAGATGAATACTCTTGGAAGCTAAATCGCTTCAGGTATACACTAATGTGTTCTTTTTTCTTGCTTCTGGAGATAGCTATTAGTTTTAGCAGTCAATAATCCCTGTGACCAGGACATAACTGCCTTTTCTGAAAACCAGAGAAAAAATCACAAACTTTGTGATTGCCATTTGCTATTCAAAAGTCTGTTTTGCTTATTTCCAAGTTCAGAGATACTGTTTCAAATGGTAGAAGGTGGCCAAACTTGCCTTAATCCTAAGTGAGAAGTATAACTGTATTTAAAATACTATCTTGCCCATTTTATCATTTTAAAGGTAAGTTTCACTTAAAAACTTCTTCTGAAATAAAAGTATATAAAATGTTTGAAACTTTAAAATATTAAATCAACATGTAATTTAATAAGACAAAATACACAGCAAATCAATGAGTAAATGTTTAATATTTTGCTACTCTTTAGTAGCCAACTTGCATTTAGTAGTTGAAGAACTGATTAGAAATACTTGATGAGTTCTAACGAATCTATGTGTTAAGGAGCTAAATCCACACTACATATAGCTACAATATGGAAAACCTCTTACTTATGGTAGCTCAAACTATCTCACAATAATTTTTTTAACACGTTAGGCACCAAGCCTGTTTTGTCTTCCTTTCCGTTTCAGTCACCGGTGACTGCCATGGCGTTTAACATGTTAATTGTATAATATTTAAATATTATTTCAGCAATTCATTCTGGTCAATATACATACAGACAGCATCTAATTTAAAGTGAATAACTGGCCCTGGTCAGTGTGGCTTAGTTGGTTGAGCACTATCCCATGCACCGAGATGTCCCTGGTTCCATTCCTGGTCAGGGCACGTGCCCAGTAAGGGGCATGCAGGAGGCAGCTGACCCATATTTCTCTCTCTCCTTCTCCCACCCTCTTTCTCTAAAATCAATAAAAACATAAAGTAACGTAAGTAATTGCCATTATCCTAGCCTGTGTGTGTGTGTGTGTGTGTGTGTGTGTGTGTGTGTGTGTGTGTGTGTGTATGAGCATGCACATGCTCATACACACTCAATTTTAGTTAAACATCACTTGGAACTTGAGTTCAAAAGGTATTTTTTGTTTCTAATTATTAAAAAATAAGTTTATCAAGACTTTATTTAATAAGAAATAAAAGAAATGACAACACTAGCACAATACCCTGATCATAAATGTACCTTTAATTAAATATTTATTGTTGACTTGTCATACATTATCATTTCATGTACCTCATGAGCAGACATATTTTGTTTTTACAATTCTGCTAACATTCAATAAAGCTTATCCCCCTAACCTGCACAAACACAGATGCCTATGCACCTGGAGAACTGGACTTGTGTCCTTTTATAAGTATGAATAAAGCATATTACATAGTAAGAGAAAATTACTTACCTGAAACTTATCCTTTCAGAAGGTACACTGGGAAAATGGATTCTTTGAGCCCCTGTTTCACCTCCAAGTATGAGCTTTCTAGCTTTAAGAGCCATTGGCACTGCCCCTAGGACAGCACAAGCTTTGCAACTCCCCTAGTGAGTATGTCAGTAGTTTCTTCAGGTGCCTTCCCTCAGTTCTTTTCAAATTCAAAAGATGAGAGAAAAAATAACCCAAGAAAAAAATCCTGTAAAGCAGAAACCTTACTCTTTGAGAGAAGGAGGGTAGCTCATTTGTGAATCCATTCCAGAGCACGCTTTCTGAGAAAAAGAAATACAGGTAAGTAATTTTCCCATCTCCAAAGGTGACTGGTGATTAATGAGTGGATTCACAGAGTGTGGAGATAAGCTCCAGGGATGTCTGTTTAACACACAACAACCAACCAATGAGGACAAACAGAACAATGAATGGTACAAAAATCAATACCACTTTTTAAGTACTTGGAAACAAAAAATAAAAAAAGTATCGAATACCTCAATATTAAACTATGAACTGGATTGTGGAATTAAACAATGAGTTTGTAAAGATGATCTAAAAGCCCTCAAAAGATCAGTCAATAAGAGACTTTCAGACATATGTCTAGTAAAAATTATACTGTTATACATTCACTTAATCACTTTATGTTTATATGTTAAAATGCCTTAAAATATTTTAGTTAACCCTCAGAACCTGTGTGGTAGATAAGGACCTAAAACTGGGGACATTCATAATTGAAATCATTATCAAAGAAAAAATGTATTTCACAAAGGAATTATATTCTGAGTAGCATCAAATAAGATAATCATTTTTATAAGCAACATACTATAGTCCTTTCATTCTGAAATCTTAGTTACTATATAAAAGTGTTAACCTTCTCTCAAACTTGCAAAAGATCAAAAACCTAAATATGTGAAATCAGTTATGTATAAATATCAAAGCTAGAGTAGGTGCGTCAGGAATTAGCTAACTTACACCCAAACTAAATTAAATATTTATAAAATAGTAATGCCCTCGTAACCCAAGAGACTAACAGAAAGGAAGAAGAGTATGCATAAATAATCACTTTTTATACATATTAATGTACAGATATGAATAAAGATATACATATTTAGGAAAATACCACTTTTAATAGGTGTCACATATTTATGAAAAAGAAATTATGTAAACCTAGATAAATATAAGAAATTATATAAACATAGACAAATAAAAATCCAAAATTGCTAAAGTGACAGAAGTAAACTTTATTCATATTTTAACAAAATAATATAATTTATCAGTAATATTTAACAAATAAATCTACTGAAAATGATTTGTATTTAAAACAATCATTAAAGGAAAATTAAATAAAAGCATGGATCCACTTTTAAATAATCCATTTTTCTTAGTTCCAGTTTCACTTAGAAACTTCTTTAAAGTTAACTGAAGAGCTGCCCTAACCGGTTTGGCTCAGTGGATAGAGCGTCAGCCTGTGGACTGAAAGGTCCCAGGTTCGATTCCGGTCAAGGGCATGTATCTTGGTTGTGGGCACACCCCCAGTGGGGGGTGTGCAAAAGGCAGCTGATCGATCTCTCATCGATGTTCCTAACTCTCTATCCCTCCCTTCCTCTCTGTAAAAAATCAATAAAATATATTTTTTTAAAAATAAAGTTAACTGAAAATTTTGTTAATGAAAGCTGGTAATAATCTAAATTTGGAAATAGATGCCAGACCAGAGTGACTCAGTGGTTGAGTGTTGACCTATGAACTGGGAGGTTATGGTTCGATTCCTGGTCAGGGCACATGCTCAGGTTGGAGCTCCATCCCCGGGGGTGTAGGAGGCAACCAATCAATGATTCATATTTTCTCTCTCTCTCTCTCTCTCTCTCCCCCTCCCTCCCTCCCTGAAATCACTAAAAAATATTTATAAATAAATAAACAGACAAATAAATAAAACTGGAAAAAGAAATTTCAGGAAGGTCAGGAAAACACAAATATTAACAGTATATATGGGGAAGAGTAAAAATGAAACTTAGGAAAATGAAATGAAAATTCTACTAATTACATAAACTAAAATTGGTTCAGGCAAAATTCTCTTTATATGAAGCCATCCTGTAGAATGTGGAACTTAGTAAGTACACAATGTATGGGGACAACATCATTTAACCAAATACTGGTAGAAAATGTCCTTTCACTTATGTCACTCTTCCTGAAAGTTAACAGGAAAGATGAAAAGGGGTGGGGCATTATAAGCATTATGGGGGAAACATCATTCTATTGGGCTAATAAGAAAAAACGCAGGAGTTGAAATGCAGGGGTTTTCAGGGGAATTCAAATGAGGGCATAGAAAGAAGGGTCACAACAAAATCTAGGTTCCCCCTCTCTCTTTAGCTCATCTCACCCAAGAAGAAAACTTAAGAGTATTTTAGTCTTTGTACTTTTTATCTCTCTAATATCTCTTTCAAGTCTAAATAAAGCTAAGTGGGATCTTAAATATGAGCATCTTTAAAGCAAAATACTTTTTAAAAAAGGCAGTCACCCCAGTCAGTGTGGCTCAGTGGTTGAGCACTGACCTATGAACCAGGAGGCTACGGCTCGATTCCCAGTCAGGGCACATGCCTAGGTTGTGGGCTTGATCCCCAGTAGGGGGTGTACAGAAGGCAGCCGATCAATGATTCTCTCCCATCATTGATATTTCCATCTCTTTCTCCCTCTCCCTTCCTCTTTGAAATCAATTTAAAAAAAATTTTTTAAAGAAAGTCATTCATGTAAATGGACACTGGCTAACAAAAAAATTAAAGGAAAAATTCTTCCAACTATATCTAAGTCTCCCAACTGTCTATATCACCAAGTTTCTCACTTTATTCTTCACAGAAGCTGGACAATATATAAAGAAAAGTGACTAGAAATGAAAAATATCATTGTCAGCACTTTAATATATTATTCTACAAAAACAAAACAAAAAATCTGCTATATATGAGTAATTTTATTAACTGCACCATAATCAATTAAGTTATTTTTCTTTAAAAACACAAAACACAGCTATCTAGAAATGTGGAATGTGTCAAGAGCCTAACAAGAAAATTTTTAAAATCTCTAAGTACTTGAGGGACTGAATGCTTCCTGTTGATATTGCTTTGACATGTTAAAATCAAACTGTATAGTATATTTTTAAAAAGAAGAAGAAATCACTATGTATTATCTTCATGAGAAAAAGCTAAATTTTTGAGGTGGGACTATAGCACTCATTAATTTAGTAAAGATGACTATGCCACTAAAGCATGAATTTGAGAAATATGAAACCATTTCTAAGACAGTTTGACCCACAACCAGCCAATGATTCCTATTACTTCAACAGGCATGTTAAATATAAAATAAACCTTACTTTACAAGAATAACAGTTACTATTACTATTGTAGAAAGGAGACTACCAATTTTGGAACAGTATCCGTGCAACACCTTCAACTTATCTCCAAACCTAAATCAAATTTCCTAATTAGAGTAAGTACAGTGTTCTCCCTAAGCACACAGTAAGCACTTAATGAATATAGTTAGTGATAGTAACACTGAACAAACAACTGGAAAAGTTATTTTTACTTAACCACCAGATGTAAATATAAGTGTATTTTAGTCTCTGTTTAGTTGTCCATAGCTAACATATGACCAGAAAATCCTATCTTACAATTTAAATACCAAAGTTTTCAAGAAATAAGGAGATCAAATGACCTAAACAATTTTCTAAGATATAGGTAAAATGTAAAACAAAGTTCATTTTTCTCTCAACACTATACTTAAATACAGTAGTGCAGTAGGGTTTATTTACTTTCTAATGCATTACTGAGGTAAAAAGGATGATACCACAGAAAAGCAAACATGAAGGTGTCCACTGATGTTTATGTGCATTTTATTGTGGTTGTACATGGTGCCAACCTCGAAGAGCTTAGACTGAAAAACTGTATCACGAGAACCAATTATTTAAATCATAGAGTGATTTGAAGTGAATCACAAGAGCCTTAAAAGTGAAGGAAGAGGGAGCACATGCTTCAAGAATCTTAAAACATTATTACCAATGCAAATTTACAATACTAAAGAAAAATAGCCCTTTTTTCAATATGACATACCTTACTTTTTAAGATAAGCTATTACTAAACTTCAGAATTCTCAAGAAACTCTTTTGAAACATTTACCTAGTCCTCAGATGTAACTAATATATCCATAAAAATAACTTCTGCCAAAGGTAGCCAAAGGAACTTGTTATTAAAGAGTCCTGAGAGCTTTTGAGGAAGTTTGTAAAGTAGCACAGCTACCCGCATGCCCTAAACCAGGGCTTTCAACCTCAGCACTACTAATATTGTGGGCAGGATAATTCTTTGAGGTAGGGAGCTTTCCTGTGCATTATAGGATGTTTATTTAGAAGCTTCCCTAAACTATTTTCACTAGATGTCAATAGCATCCCCAGCTCCCACCCCACCCCAGTTGTGATGATCAAAAAAAATGTCTCTAGGCATTTCCAAAGGCCCCAGGAGTAATCCCCAGTTGAGAAATTAACGCCTTAAACAAAAATACCATCAGGAAGGATGGTTCTCTTGAACTGAAATCTCAAGGCCACTCATAGCACAAAGTAAGAGAAGAAAATACCAGCCTAAACAGGCCAGATAAGTGTTGAATCAACGCTGGCAATCAATGGCTAAGATGTGAAAAGTCAGGGCTCCCTGTATCTCATTGAGGATGTTTTTCTAGCCATTCTAGCACTCTACCTTAAAATTTCTGGTCTTGTACCTTATGTTTTCTCTATAACCAAAGAAATAACTGAAGGATGAACAGATACTGGCATCCTTAAACCAATGAACACATAAGCCAAGAGATGTCCTACAGGAACAGAATTCAGAGACATTCTGGAACAGTAAATGAGAGCAAATGTTGTCCCAAGAATGTGAAAAATCAACATTTTCTGAAAAGGGCACCTACAAATCTCACTTTCTTTATGATCTATTCACTGTGAAGCTTCCTTATTCTTTTAAGTGGCAATCATAACAAAAATCACATAGGAGTCCTTACCAATGAAAACCACAGTGCTAGTAGCCAACGTGTTACAATCATTGGAGGTTAGCTCTAAACTGATGGCAATTATGGGCAAAAATTAAGCATCAAAGGAGAAAAAGAAAGAAAAAAGACCAATTACAAAACAGGAAATGTGGAAAAGGACTGCCAGCGCACACAGTGCTCTTCTATGTTCTAAAAAAGAAAATTAGTTTTATCCACCAAAACACCAATTTCGGGCGTCTACCACACAACTCTACCTGGAAATGGGGTTAAAAGATCTTAACTCCCACTAATGTTAAGTGTCTAAGCAAGGATGCCCTCACACTGTGAATCCAATTATACCAGTCGCCTTTGGAAATGTATCCATAATCCACTATTATAATCTGATCCCTTTTAAATGACCAACAGACTTTTTATTCACTTTTAAACATTGCTGCAAAAGGTAAAACTTTCCAAGGAAAGTGATAAAGAACTGAAAATCAGAGCTTAGAATGAAAAGATACCTTTAACCATAGTACATAATAGCTATCATAGGTTAAAATCTAGAACTTACCCCAATGGCAGAAATCAGAAGAAACCACAAAGAGATTACTAGGATCCGCTAGATATTTACTGAAGAGTTTTCCGAATTCCTGTTCTTTTGACTCACTCAGAGCTCCAACCAGTACAGGAATAATGGTAAACTCATCCTTATGGCTTAAAAAAAACAGAAAAAAAAAGTCACTTGAGAAGTATAAGAATAAGAATAAAAATAGTTTCCAATGTGTTTGCACTAAAAAGTGGAACATATATTAATAGTTGTAAAGATAATACACGAATTGTTGAATTCTTAAAATCTACAAATTAAATGTTTAAAGAAGACCATTTAAAAATGAGAGGTACAAAAAATGAGGTACAGAATACTCAAAATATCCATTTAAATTACAGAAATGTACAATACTTCTTTAGGTAACCAAAGCTATTTTACTACCAGGTAGAATAACATCCTCAAAAATAAAAATAAGCCCATCAGACCATCACCAAGTCAAGTCTTCTCAACTACCCATCAAAGCTGGAATAATCTGCCCAATACTTCCACAATTTTAAAAGAACATTAAACTCTTCCTCACCTATTTTAGTCCTTTCCTATTATTAATACCACCATTTCTAACATTTGTTCCATAAACCTGTCAAGTGAGGCCTACAACACTTAATACTGGCTCCCATACGATTCCCCAATTACACTTATACCTATACTTATAAACAGAAACAAGACAGTCTGAAAATACAACTCAATTCTACTAGCATGTAGGGTGACCACAGATTCCAAGAAGCAGGTTTTAATTTCTAACAGCGATAATAAACCACCACACCCACTCACAGTGTTTACAGCACAACCACAAATCCCCTTTTCACTCCACAGATTGACAGATTCATGGAAAAGGAGCAGAGCAGATTAATAAAGAAGAACTATGATAGGCTATAGAAATAGATGTTTATCCAAAACCTTTTAAAATGTTCATTATAGTGAAATTTTACTTACATATATTCATTATTATTTATATTCTAAATGATCCCAGATTTGGAATTTTAGAAGCATGAAATCATGTTTGTCTGACTTGTTCTGAACAGGATTTAAGAGGGTGGGGGATCACCATTATAATAATGCTCTTTAATATGAATAGTCTGACACTTTACTGATGTAGGACAAATAAAATTCATAAAAGCTCTTTAAAATACTAAGTGTAAGTATTCCCAAAAGAAATGTTATTCCAGCTTCATAAAGCTAAATTCAGGGCACCCAAGCGCCTCCCCCATCATAACGGCCCCCTTACCCTTGTCAATTGCGAAATAAACAGATCATACAGATCTCCAGTCCCTCTGCAATGCAGGGGCTTCTTGGGCAGAATCTGCATCTATGGAGTAAGAAAAAAGAGGAAGCTGGCAGAGGGAGCTGCCATGGGCTCTTTCTCTATTACCAATTTGCTTAAAAACTGCGTGAGTGAACAGGGGCTCTTCAATAAGTTAAGAATTATCATTTCAAAGAAAAGAACTGAGCTCTAGTGAAAATTCAAGAAGATTATTATAACTTGTTCTGTTCTAACTTCAAGTATCACCTACATAAATAAATATACCAAGAAAATCAAGAGTTTGCAAGTAATTACGACATGGTAGGAAAGCAGTTATATGGACTATAAAAAACAAGAAGTCAGAAGAAATGAGTTCAAGTATTATCTATATCGCATGCAAATGTTGAGAGCGTGGCCAAATTACTAACCTAAAAATGTCCTTATCTGTGAAATGATCATAATTATAATAGTAATTTCATAAAACTGTGACAAAGTGAGGAATACTATAAAAGCACTATGTCAACAACAGTTGGCTCACTCTGCAGAAACAACACATGTCTACCTTCCACAAGAGCCACCAAAACATTCAATTAACTGGTTTGAGCTCACAAATCTATCTATAGAGGTAAAAGACTCATGCTCCTTAGAAATCTAAGCCTTGAATCAAGATTCATCCATCCACCTCTCTTTGTTCTTTCCCTTTTTAAACAACTATATGTTGTTCTCTATTCCCCCAAAGCATGAATTAGAGGAAAGAGCATTTGTCTTTGATATATAATATTCCCAGGTTTTAGAATCAATTTGTGAAGTTGGTCTTCCCTAGTAAAGGAGGAAAAACAACAACTTGTAATATAAAACTGAATAAACTGTCAAAGACAACCATTTTGTGCTCTAGAGTTCAACCAAAGGCAAGAAACAAGATTAGTTTATTCATAAAAAAACAAAAAAAAAACACACACACACAAAAAAAACACTGAATTTTTTGAGAAGAAGAGTGGAAGCCTGGCACCTTAGGAGGAGCTGTCCCCATCCCTCTGCTCTACTCCACAAACATAGCAGTTCCGTTGGCAGTGAGAACTGGCAGAGGTGTTAGGCCAGTGGAAAGAGTCAATAAAAATATTTTTCAATATATAAAATATGTATTTTTTTAAAAAAGAAAATAAACTGTTTTGCATACTTACATCTGTAAGCCTACTTTTACCCTAACCTGTATATGGGTGAGAGAGAAGTTTATTTTATGTGTGATCATTTTACAGCTTGAGCAGTATGTCCATGCTCACCAAATAGTACACATGAGAAAAGTGCATTTTGTTGCATGCCAGTTATAAATATACCTAAATAAAGCCTTAAAAAATGCTTCCAAATAAAGACCTCGATATCCCTGCCTTGTTAGAAAAGTAAAATGTCACCCCTATATGGATGGGCTCTACCAACCTTGTCAGTTCAGCAACCTCACTGGTACTTGAGTTCTGGCTAGGAAAAGAATTCAAAGCCAAGACTCAAACTCTAAGAGAAAGTTTATTTAGAAAGTCACAAAGGTAGAAGTGAGCTGTAGAGGAAATGGGCTCAGGAAACAAGTTATGGAGACAAAAGAAGGGCCCTTGGAACTTAGGAGGGAAAAGGTAGCATGCCTGGGGGGAAGATGTGGCCAGTGTTTTTATCTCATTAGCAGTACATAATTTAAATCTTAAAAGTGATGACATTTTTAACTAGATGAAGTACTGTACTCAAATATTTATTTGCTTATTCTTCCTCTGGAATTTGGATATTTGTCCCCTGAAAAACATTAATATGAGAATTTTTTCCTCTATACAAATTCTTCCAATTTCCTAAAGATTTTAGAAGCAGTCCAGAGAATTAAACAAATCATAACAAATCCAGGAAGAAGACAATTTATCCTTATCCCTAAAGGTGCTAAAGCTGTTGCTATTGAAGCATCCATCTTATATAAAAACTGCTGTTTAAAATTTTAACCCTGCTATTTCTGGCTTCTGTAATGCTTGCTGGGTTAAATAATAAGGAATATAAGGCTACTCCCATTTCAAAGAGGCATTAAACCTTCTCCAGACGAAGTTATCAGTGCAGGTGTCAGGCCAAGTCTTTGGTCGAGGTCGCCAGCACATAGGGGCTCTTGAAGAATTTGCAAAGGGGACCGGAACAGAACCCCATATTTGGGAGACAAAGAGGGTAAGATGTTATAAATACAGGAAACTTCCTGTGTGATTTCGCCCAGAATTTGAGAGACATTTTCCTCTGGGCCCGCGTAATAATAATAAATGTAACTCCATCTCTCTAAGTGTTGCTTGGTTCTTCTCCGGTTTTTCTGTAGCATTATAATAGTACAATTATATTATTTATTCTCCTTTCCTCTTTTAGATAGAAAATAATCATAGAGGGGGAAAAAGGATAAAACATATGGAGATAAAAAATAAATGCCTTACACTAACTTTTATTCATCCTATTCATGGTCATAGAAACTGAAACTGTTCTATTACAACAAACAAAAATGTTTTAGCTATATTCTAGAGATCCTCTATGCCCTATAATTCTAAATAATCTCTTACTGATGTGCAGGTAATACCCAAAACATATATAAAAAAGGAAAACTCAGAAACATAAAGAAAATCCACATTTGTTCTAAAATCTCAGTAAATAACAACAAAAAATACTTAACTGCAAGACATATGTAGAAATACACAAATAACCATGAGTATAAAAGTCAGAGTAAGAGCCCTAGCTGGCTTGGCTCAATGGATAGAGTGTCAGCCTGCAGACTGAAGGGCCCCAGGTTCAATTTCGGCCAAGGGCACATGCCTGGGTTGTGGGCTTGATCCCCAGTAGGGGATGTGCAGGAGGCAGCCAATAAATGATTCTCTCTCATCATTGATGTTTCTATCTCTCGCTCCTTCTCCCTTCCTCTCTGAAATCAATAAAGAAATATTTTTTTAAAAAAAAAGTAAGAGTAAGAACACATTTGAAAATGGCACTGTTCCTGTGGCTGTCATTAAAGATGGACAGAGGTAGAAAAATCTCAGACTTCTTTCTATGTCCAGAGACAAGCCATTCCCCTCTGTTAAAGATGACCTATTCAAGAACATATCTTACTTTTCTCTGGCATTTTCAATATCTGAAAACTTAATTGAGGCCACAATCAAAAAGGAAAGTAAAATCTTTAGACCTAGTACAAACCTAAGCTATAATAAGGGTGAGGGTGGCGTGTAAGTGAATCAAAAAATCAGAAAGTTGGAATAGCGATATGGCAGCCTGGAATTGGGAAAGAGGAGTGGGAATTCTGCAGGTCTGCTGTGCAATCTTCAGAAGGGCCTGCTTGTAAGACTCTCCTTGGTGACATCTGGGAACTTGACTTTTACAATGTTCCTTATGTGATTAAGGCTGCTTTATCCCCATGAGACACTGTACCAGACTGCCTAGATTGTTTATAAAAATGTCATTATAGCTAACACCTGCTTTCCTTCTGGGAGTCTGGAATTTCAGTAGTTGTGCCTAGTTATGCTGACAGTGAGTGTCCACATAACCAGCTCCTGATAAAAAACCTGGATTTAAAAATAAAATAAAACCTGATTTTAAATCTTTTTACCAAAATATTATTGAATGTTTTAAAGAGACAGAGAAAGGGAGAGGGAGACAGAGAGAGAAACATCAATCGGCTGCTTCCTGCAGGCCCACCACAGGGGATCGAGCCTGCAGCTGGGGCATGGACCCTGACTAGAAATCGAACCTGCAACCTCTTGGTGCATGGGACAAGGCCCAACCAACTGAGCCACATCAGCCAGGAGTGGTTTTGAATCTGAAAAGCAGCTTGCCTGGCCAGAAACATCATACACGTGTTACACCGCAGGAGAAAGCACATCCCATTCGGCCCACCCCTATGAAAGGGAGGAACTTTGAAACCTGCACCTGGCTTCCTCCAGATTCTGCTTAATGTGTCTTTTTCCCTTGCTGGTCCTGCTGTGTATATCTTTTCTAATAAACCATAGTCAGGAATACAACTGAGAATCGGTCTAGTGAGTCTTCAAATGTGAGGCTGGTTGTAGAACTCTCGAAACAGGTGTTAAAGGCAAAACGAAATAAAGGAATCATAATGACAAGCATTATAGGGAGCCCTATAAAAAGAATTTCTCTCATTTTTTTTCTCAAATTCACTTTCAAACCACAGTTCATACATCCAGACCTTATGCAGAATAATTTCACTGTCAAAGAACAAACTAAAAAGATCTATTAAACATCAGGCAGAGCTAAAGAACTGGGGAGAGAGAAGGGAGGGAATAAGTAAGCTGGCTGTCAATGACAACTAAAGTTAACATTTAAATTATTAAAAATCTTTACTGTTTGATCAGTTAAGCGAATCTAAGGAGACTCTCAAAATTAATCTCAAAGGCTATATCTTTCTGAATTTTCATTTGAGTAGGAATACTGATAAAGATTTTACAAGGGCAGGCTTATTTCAGGTACTTGAGAGCCATACTAAACTCTATTTTGTAAACTCAACTATTGAAGTAAAAAAAACAAAACAAAACACACACAAAAAATACCCTATCATGAATTGGCCAAGTTTATTAGAGAAATTCAGTATTTTGTTAGAAGCAAGTCAATATTTCCATATCTTATGTTCTCTTAAATGTATACCTACTGCTTGCTGGCTTTACTTTCTCTGATAATGGCATGCTATTAAACCTTAAACTTTTGCATTTTCTTAAAATCATCTTACTCCCCCACATATAAACATTTACCAAGTTTTATTGGTTCTAACCTTTAAATGTCTCCCATAACCTGCTCACTTTCCTACCCCTACCCCATTCACATCTTCCTTAGTTCAAAGCAACCGTGGTTTCTTTACTAAACCATTTCTATCCATCTCTTCCAACCCTATTCCATCCTTCACACCATTAAGGAGTAAGTAATAGGTTCTAATCATCTCCCTCCTCCCTTTGCTAAGAAACTTTAACTATTTCTGTAACTAGCACTAAGGCTATCTTGGATTTTCTAGTCTATTCCAGCCACCTTAGTCAACATTTTACAGCAAGGTGTTCCCTGCCAAACCTCCTGACCCAAAAATTGTGAGCAATAACGTAGTTGTGATTTCAAGCCACTAAGTTTTGGAGTAATTTGTTACTTAGTAATGGACAGCTGATACAGGTGGTGAGTATAGGAAAGGGAAATTACACTTTGAAGTACTTAGAAAGTGGGTACTTCCTAAGAGTCAATCTTAGGGATCCTAATATAATCTGCAAGACAGGGAAGGTTTTCTTAAGAAGTGATACTTAACAATGGTTATATAATATTATTTAATAGAGGAGAAATTATGAACAAAAATTTTGCTTGTTGGTTTTAAGTTCCTATTTTTCTAAATTTTACACAATGTACATTTTACTTTTGAAATAATAACAAAAATGCTATTTTGTTAAACCTCCTTAAGGATATTATTGGCAGCTTATTGGTTCTATTGTATTAAAATCTATTAAGTTTAAAATATCTGTTTTCTAATGACAAAATGTGCAAACATTTCAGCAAATAACAAAAAATTTATATTATCCTATATAATTGAAGAATGGAACATTTCAATTATATTAACATTCCAAGAAATAAACATCACATATTGCTTTAACAATTTTTGAAGAATTATAATGTATTAAAACACAATTAACCTAAAATTAAACTGCTTATAATTTAATCACAATGATTTTTAGAAACTTCTCCAGATTTATGAAGGTCCTCACAGTTATCCTTGTGAACAGATTATCAGTAACATAAGACCAAGAGAAGTAAGTAATACTCTGATAACAAAATTAAGAGTGGAAATGATCCAGAAAGACTGCAATAATGGACTAAAACCAACATGACAAAATTACACATAAGTAATGAGGAGATATGTAGGGTTAAAAAGAAATCAACCACAACAGTACAAGAGGATAAAATAATCCAGTTTAACAATATGAAAAAACCTTGGGTTATGGCTGACCACAGTACATTTGCCACAATAGCACAAAAAATGTTAATGCAATCTCAAGCTTCAATAATGCAATTAACTAACAAATATTTTATGAGAACCTAAACTGCACCACATACTTTACTAAGAGAATACAGTGATGGCAAGCCAAGAAGGAATAATCTCACCATATTTAAAACTAGTCAAACTATACGTGGAATATTAAGTCCATATAAAGAAAATGGTTGAAAATGAGAGAAATGTGGCCTACAAAAGGAAGACTTTCTTATTTGAATGCTGACCTAAAAGAAAGCTCTTAAATAATTATTTCATTGTACCAAAACAAATTAATGACTGTTCTGTGACTGGCATTGTGCTAGGTACTGAGGTATAATTGGAGAATAAAATAGATATTGTCCCTATCCTCAACATACTTATAGTTTACTGAGTACCCTTATCACTGGAAGACCTTTAGCAGACACCAAATAATAATCTAACAAGCATATTATGAAAGAGATTCATGTACTTTGTGTAAAGCTGAAATAAATGACCTCCAATATTGATCAAATCTAAAAGGTTGTTATTACTTATGGTATCATACCATAAAAGAATACAATTGTTATTTTAAGATATATAAATGTCTAATGAGTAAAGTAATAGGCATGCCAACAAACACACACACACACACACACACACACCGTTTTTTTTTTTATATTTCCCCCTAATAAAACAAACAATTCAATTCACATGTTCAGATTTCATAGGCAAACTATTCAAAAACCAACTTCAATCCACATTAAGAAAATCCAACCTCAAATTTTTATTTCATTTCAAATAAAAAATATTTTTTAGAACTATGAGAGACTACATTTGTATTGTTTTAAGCCCCACCCAACATTTTTAATCTCCTTACCCTAATGATTATCTTACCATAGTTAAAATAATTCCAAAGAAATTAATATCTATGATTTCTCTGGGATTTCTTATATTAATCAATATACCTTTCCATGGCTTTAGCTGTATAAGGCAAATGCATTTCAATACTGTGTTCATCTTCATCTGTCTGCAGAGACATGCGTTCAAACATTCCTGTCTTCCACAGTTCTCCGTAAACTAAAGAGATTTCAAAATATAGTAAAACAAATATATTAATGTATATCCTTATCCTGTGAGACTCCACCCAGTAATACAAAACTACATGCTTTGGCAAGAGGTAGAAGCACCACATAATATTCTCCTTTTTTTCCTCCATTTTTATTTTTAAAAAAGAAGAGGCTTGCTTTTTACATATCAGACAAAACAATAATACATGTAATAACTTACTCAGCATTTCTAGGATACAGTTATATAAGTAATAATTTAAATTTTTCATCAGTTCCTTTCATTTTAACAAAAATCACCTCCAGGTGTAAGCCTTTCCTTAACTTTAATCAGTACATGCTAACAAAAGCATAGCTGATTAGAACTCCTACTGAAATATGGAAAAATCACTGGTCTACTTATAAATGTATAGGATTATTCTTTCACACCTCAGGTTCTGGCCATAGTTGAGAATAGAAAATTCCCACTAAGAATGCTATTTTCCTCAAAATTAAAATAAAGCTTATGGGATAGACCAGAACATAAATTTACCACAGTACCATGCCATAAATAATATTAAAATGATCTAGTAATTCAGACCCTTGTGATGAATTATACTTAAAACTGAATATTGTACAGCAAGAAAATGATGAAATTTAATTAATATGTAAAAAAATGAGTGTTTTTGTCTCATCATAGAACTGAACCAACATTTTTTTATAATTATTATTGATTTCAGAGAGGGAGGGAGTAGGAGAGGAAGAGAGAGAGAAACATCAATGATGAGAGAGAATTACTGATCGGCTGCCTCTTGCACGCTCCCTATTGGGGACTGAGCCCACAATCTGGGCATGTGCTCTTGTCCGGAATGGAAACAGGGACCTTTCAGTCCACAGGCAGATGCACTATCGCAGTGGTTCTCAACCTTCCTAATGCCGGGACCCTTTAATACAGTTCCTCATGTTGTGGTGACCCCCAATTTCATTGTTACAAACTGAACATAATTAAAGCATAGTGATTAATCACAAAACTATGTAATTATATATGTGTCTGCCGATGGTCTTAGGCGACCCCTGTGAAAGGGTTGTTCGACCCCCAAAGGGGTTGCGACCCACAGGTTGAGAACCGCTGCACTATCAGCCAGCACCTGAACCAACATTTTTATAACTACATCAGAAAAATGGGTTTACCAATATCAAAAAGAGAACTACAAATGGTGCTAAGATTTTTTTCTACAAAAATATATATGATTAAAAACATTCCATTCCTTCTTTGGCAGGCTATCCAATACCAAAATTTTCTGAATGCCACAACCAAGTTTTAAAAATAAAGTATGTCCCCTAAAAATCTAGGGAGTAAGGCTAGCAATATTCCAGCTTTATTAATAAGATATAGTCTAACAAATTGCTGATACTCCATGATTCTTAAAAGCCAAAATTATGGAAATTTAGGACTAGAGAAATATGGAAAAAAAAGAGGTGATCATTTTCCTTTGTAAATGGTTTCTTTCACTCTACCTTAGTATATTTTGTAAAATTTCTTGAAATAAGCACTCAACATACTTAAAATATAATTTAATGAACTGTAAAGATATATACCAAGTCCATAAAGGTAGTTACTGTGAAAATATAAATTGAGTTCAGATGAGGGGGAAATTCTGAGTAAATATTGGATGATGGGTATTTGTAACACTATTTTCTGTACTATTCTGTAATTTTTAAATTAGGCTCCCATCCTCCAAAACTACTATTCAAAGTCAGTAAGTTTTACTTTACACATCCAATATTTAAAATAATGCCCAAGTAAATTAAAAATGTGATTTCTGAAAGCCTATGGAAAAAATAAATCAAACTAATCAACATCTTAAAAATAAAATGCACTTAAGATTTACGTAGCACCTTTCTTTCCGAGTTTCACAACTACAGGCTCATTTTTTCCCATAAAAATAATTTTGGAGGAAAAAAGGCATTATCACTATTATCTATTTACAGTGAGGAAAGTGATATACATAGAGGTAGACTAACCTGCCCAGAATCTTTCACCCAGTTGTGATAGGTACCACTTTCTTGTCTCACAGTATAATGAGTACAGAGTATTTTCCTACAGTCTGGAGATTAGCGGATCTGACAGATTTTTGTGGCTGGTAGAAAAACTGTGGTTGTCTTTTAAGCACATAGGAGATTTTTTTTTCTTTGTTTTTATTTTTTGTAGATTAATTACAAGTTTTATATTTTGAGATATTACTATTATATTCACATTTTATAATTCCTATTTAAAAACCACTAGCTGTTTATAAGCTTTATGATTTCTTTATACTTACTCTTTTGGTCAATACGAAGGTCATACAGAGGTGTTCTATATATATCCACACTGGAAAGTGCACATCGAGAGAGGGGCACATGATGAGAAGGCCCAAGGATGAAAATTCTCCGGCTAGGATATATACAACAAAAAACACAGAACAATTGCACTTCTATACAAACCTTATTAAATAAAAGGGGGAAAAATGAGTAAATTTTTAAAATTACACATAGTACTGTTTTCTTTCATTGCCTACTCTTATGCACTAAATTGTGTTCCCCTAAAATTCGTATGTTGAAATCTCACCCCCAAGTACCTCAACATGTAACTGTATTTGAAAATAAGATATTTAAGGGGTGATTAAGTTAAAATAAGGCCATTAGGGTGAGGCCTGAATCCAATATGACTGCTGTCCTTATAAGAAGAGGAAGAGACAGCAGGGGTACACATGCGCAGAGAGGTGACCACATGGAGAGGTGTCAAGAGGGCACCCATCTGCAAGCCAAGGAGAAACCATCCTGACAGTACCTCGATCTCAAACTTCCAGCCTCCAGAACTGTGGGTAAATAAATTTCTGTTGTTTCAACTGCCCAGTTTGTGGCAGGTTGTTATGGCAGCCCTAGCAAACTGATATACCTACGAATAATCTGCTCCTCAGTCAATTAAGCTAATTTTTTTGTCTGTCTTTCTGTTGTAAGGCCTTTATTTTTCTTGTTGTTGTTCTTGTTCTTGGAAGGCCTTCAACACCTGGAAATACCAGTTACTAATTATCTACAGTAAACCAACCTGTTATGCTTAAAATTATCTCTGTATTTACAATGGCTAGAAAGCTATTGAATTTTATTGAATTTTAAACATTTCAGCTATTAACTAAAATCTCAAAATTCTAACGCATTCTAAATTTGCCTTCTAAGGTCTACCACAATTTTAATAAAAATACATAATAGTATAGATTCTAAAAACTCATGAAAAATATCATTACAAAGAAGCATTTTGATAAAGCTATTTTCACATGTCTTCCATGGAGAGAAAAAAAAAAGACATCTTGTTCAGAAGAATTCTGTATAATAAGCTTTCTCTGTTCCAATTTAAGTAGAAGTCATTCTCAAAAACAAAGAAACTTGATTATGTGTTATTTGCACTGTAGGCTAAAGAAAAGAACTGTGCTAAACTATAACTTAAGTCTTTACAATTCTTTTATCTTGACATCAGGAGTAAAATTAACTTCTTTTCATTTTATTTCCAACATCCCTACAATCTAAATTCCAAAACTATCCATTTTCTCTTTTCTCCTACACTCATATGAACAAAACTTACACAAACACACCACAGTCACACACAAACTTACAGACCAAAAAAAAAAAAAATTTTTTTCTGAGAAAGAAGGGAATAATATATGATTGCCTAAATACTTAGAAAATTAAGGACTACTCACTGCTCAATTAATGGACAAAGAATGACACAGAAGCTAATTCTTTCATGTCAGAAAGTTGCAGGCCAAAGAATGCCCCACTGATAATGCTTCTTGTCGTCACCATTATGATCAACTCAATAACCATTTCAGAAAAAAAAGATCAAATCTACTGATTCCTAATTGAAGAAAAGAAATACCACTATGTTCTCCTATCTTAATAGCACATAAATATCACCATGATTTTGTTTACAGCTGATGTTCGACATAGACAATGATAACTGAGTATTTCAGTGACTTACTTACCTAATGACAAGTATTTATATGAACAAGAATCAAATATGAAAAAAAAAGGCATTTTTATGTTTAAGGAATACATTTAGATGAAAAGAGAGAGGAGAGGGACAGAATATTTAAAATCAAAACAATCCTGGAAATCCAGGATAATTAAAATATGACAAGACTTTTAAAATATCAATCTAAACTCAAGGTATAAAAACATTTCATAAGTTAGTGTAATAAGGTTCTCACAGTGGCCAAAAGATGAGCACACCAGATATAAAGGCCCCAAGTCAGCTGGGAAAGCCTAGCTGCTCCTCTAAGACTGACTGCTCACCTTGTTCGCCTTTCTGTCAGACACCCACTCGCTGAAAAGATTAAGACTGCTGGGGGAAGAACTGCCTCCAGTCTGAGTTAACCAACTGTGTACCCAACAAATTCTTTCCAGTTTGGCAGAAACTCAAATGTGAAGTTCCACATTTGGTTAAGAGAGATAATAGGAAAAAAGAGGCTGAGGTTCCATCAACATAAAACCCTTAAAAGTAATATATCCAAAAACAAACCAAAAGAGGCTAGGTATCACTGAAGAAAAAAAGAATGCACATTAAACTGGTAGTAATTGCAAAATGGGTTTCTGTTAGCCATATGCTAACAAAAAGAATATTAATAGGGTAAGTAAAAGATAATGCATTTTCTTTTCTTTTTTTTTCTTGCTAGATTGCAAGATCCAGGAACACTAAAGCCATAAAAATATTTTGGAGAGAAATGAGTAATGCATGAAAAGCAATGTCACCGAAACCGGTTTGGCTCAGTGATAGAGCGTCGGCCTGCAGACTGAAAGGTCCCAGGTTCGATTCCGGTCAAGGGCATGTACCTGGGTTGCGGGCACATCCCCAGTAGGATGTGTGCAGGAGGCAGCTGATCGATGTTTCTCTCTCATCGGTGTTTCTAACTCTCTATCTCTCTCCCTTCCTCTCTGTAAAAAAATAATAAAATATATTTAAAAATAAATAAATAAAAGCAATGTCACTTACTCTCTATTTAATAAACTGCAAGGTGTTTTGTCGTTAAAGAAGTAACTTTTCAATATTACCATGTCATCACAGTTGTGACACATAAAAGAAACCTTTAATATGAAAAAATGGGGGTAAAGGGAATCAGTAAGCATTCTCTGAGAAATAAATGTTTTTCACATATAGTACCTCCAGAGAATTGACTTTGTGGAGTTATTTTCTATGATTGTCATCTGTGCACCCAATACGTAAGTTACCTGAGTGTCTGCCCTCATAAATATTCATCTACTTATTCTAAATAATGTAACAAAAGTAATTTTTGAAAGATGTGTCATGGCAAGTGCCGATATTTTATCTAAAGAATAAAATGTGTGTGGCCCCAAATAAGATTCCTTTTTGTTCTTTTTCTGCCATGCAAGACTTTCTGAAAGATCTGAATCAAGTTACTAAGTATGTCCTGAGTTTATCTTTAATTAAAGTCTTAGTAAAAGGAAAAGACTTTGAAACTATAAATATGGAAAGAACCTAACTAAATGTATCATTTTTTAAATTTCTTAAAACAGTCAGCCAGAGTGCTATTTCTGAAACATAAATTGGGTCCTATCACTCTCCTGCTTCAAAAAAAAAAGTCTTTCCATGGCCAGAGGATACTAGTAAAATACAAAAATCTTTAAAACGGGTTCTAAAGTCTCAAATAAACTGGCCCCTTTTTGTATTGCTCTTCCTTTTGATCACAATACTTTATGTGATCTGGTCTTCTTGAAGTTCCTTGATGACACAAACAACCTTGCCGACTTCAAAGCCTTCACACATTTCTTTTGCTTGGCTCAAAAATCATTTCCTCAGAGACACCTTACCTTCCCCGAAACCTAATCAGCAGACCTTAACCACAACCTAAATCCAATCTCCCTGCATCACAGCAGTTCTCAAAGTGTGAACTGTGAATTCATCATGATCCACAAAATCAAAACCATTTTCATAATAACACAAGGAAGCTGTGTGCCTTCTTCACTGTGATGACATCTGCACATACGGTACAAAAGTGAGGCTGGGTAAGCCGCTGGCACAACAGAATTACGATCGAGGTAATGGAACCAAAATGTACTAGGAGTCATGTGTTCTTCACCCACACCAAGCTTTGTGGGGGGTTTTTCTTAAGGCCAGTTTCACTTAATTTCATTAAGTCTTGACATTTGAATACAATTTTACAAAAATATTCTGTATGACAAAATGCATTCAATTTGTGATGCTAAATGCTTAAAGCACTACTGCTGCATACAGAGTATATCTCAGGGGAAAGCATTAGTGTGACTGAGTTGTGAGCTATCAAAATGACTGTAGACAAATTATGGTTATTCCAATGTGGACAGTTGGCAGAAATTTTCTAAAATGATGATGAAAATGAGCTTGCAACTTCAAAGAAAAAATCTGACATGTTTGTTGCCAATGATAAAACTGAAGCTTTTAAGTGAAAATTAGACTTCTGCAAAACTTCCATCCCTGTGAAATTGACAGTTTCCCAATAGTTAAAGATTTTTCAGATGAAACTGGTGGTGACATGAACAAATGTGATTTTTTGGACACTGAATGATAAATGTCAACATTTGAAATATCTACATAACTCAATAAACATATTCTATGCAAGATGTTACAAAAATCATAAAAAGGTAAAAGATCCCTTCAAAGAGCAGGAGAGTACAAAGATGATCTGATTGACATGTAGAAAATGGACTAGTGTGAAAAGAATGGAAGCTAATGATATAGAATTTAACCTTCACTCTTGAACTGTTCTTTATTATTCCTCTGTACTTCACATAGTTCCCAAATGATGTTTTTCCTGTTTTCTCAAAGGACTCTGAAGACACTGCAAATCTCAAAGAGGGGCTTTTTTAAGAGAATACAAATATGGCTATCCATTATTATTTTTAACACTCAGACCTTCACATTTATTTATTCAGATTCAATTATGTGTTAATTATAGAAAAATAAGCTGGTTACATCACCATCCACCATTTGCCTCATTTTTTAGTGATCTCCATCATCTTCTTAGTCCTTCGTTCTCATCCTTTTTTATTCTTTATCTTTTTCCTTCCATTCTCATTTTCCAAACTATTTAACACAAGCTTTCCACTTCTACCAATACTGGCTCCATGTCTCTCTAATGTATTCTAAGGCCAAATTTAATTCAGGGGTATCCTTCCAGCATATATCATCATCAATTAAGATTGTGCCAAATAGAAAAACATTTGGAAAAAGTTCTTACATAAACTAACCTTGATGGTAGCTGGTTCACAGATCGAGGGTCAAATAAAGGAAACTTCTGAAAATCTTTACAATCTAACTTCTATTTGCTCTTATTCATGAAATAATTTAGTTAAAATTGCATATTAAACATGTATCAAGAAATATTTATTAAAGAAGCCCCTCAACACATCCAAATGAAGCAGGGCTAACCAAAGCCTCATCAGTTTGGCAACATCATTTTATTTATTATTTAAAACTAGTAAAAATAATCTTCAACAAAGGTACAGTACAATGTGCAGAGTACACTATACAGGAACAAAAAAGGGCAATTTTGTTTTAAAAAACTGAAAAAATTGCTCAAAGGAAAAAAGAGTAGGCTATGGGTAAGACTTGCTTCTTAAACTCACGGCTGCTGTGTTACTTCTTCTGAATGATTACGTTTCATCTCTACTAGTACAGATGTATTGCTACTACTAGTATTACTACTAACAATCAGCATGAAACAATTAAGATGATTGATTTTATCTATTCACATAATATGAAACAACTAGCAATACAGATTGGACCCTGATACTGGTTCACATATAGTAAATTAACTATTTTAATAAAATACTGGTCAGAAAATTTAGTAATTTGGGTAGCGATTTTCAGCAGAAATTTTTGAAAGTTCACATGTTTCTCATTTTAAAGAGCAATATACTACTCAGTCACAATTTGCCACAAAGATTTTTATAAAGCTAATTTCAGAGCTGTCTTTAAATTAAATGCTTATATCCTTCAAACATCATATGAAATATGATGCCCAATTCTAAAATAATTCAGAGAACCTTATTCTGTCAATGAGAAATTATTCCTATTTTATGAACTACAATAAAGAATTTTAAGTTACAAATGATTAAAGTAGAATAAAGGGCTTTGTATCTTCTTTAAAATGTTCATCTCCAGGTTTTCCCAAACAAAATTTTTTAAACCAGTTAGTGTTCCTGGACCCAATTCCAAAGTACATGGGGGGGAGGGGGTTCTCCACACCTCCAACAAGCAATTCTTGAACACTCTCCCTGGAGATAGCATCAGATTCCACAGGTTATGCATTCAGTCCTACCAGGCTGCTCCCCAAACCTCACTTCAGATGCCAGGCTTCTGACCTGTACTTCTAACCAACTGGCTATAAACCAGAGGTCCCCATGACCCCCTCCTTAGCTTCGATCATTTTGCTAGAGCAGCTCACAGAACTCAGAGAAACATTTAGCTACAAAAATCACTGGTTTGTTATAAGCAGACGTAATCAGGAACAGCCAGTTGGAAGAGATGCACAGGGTGAGGCATGGGGAAAGGGAGGAGAGTGCCGCTCTCCCCTGGATCCCGCCAACCTGGAAGCTCTCTGACCCTGTACTTCGGGGATTTATGGAGGCATCACTACATAGCTGTGACAGACTGAATCACTGGGCACTGGCGACTGATTCAACCTCCAGGCCCTCCTCACTCCCCTGAGGTCAGGAGTGGGACTGGAAAGTTCCCACCCTCTAATCATAATTGCTTCTCCTGGCAACCAGCCCCTATGCTTAGTTGAGATCCAAAAGTCACCTCATTATATCTCTAGAACAAGAGATACTTCTATCATATTCAACACTTAGATAATTCCAAGGGTTTGGGCCCTGTGTGTGTGTCAGGAACTGTGGACTAAGGGTAAGACCAAATATATATTTCTTATAAATTACAATATCACATTAACCTTCTAACATTTCCAGAACTGAACATTTTACCAACCAAAGGGAAGGTAAAAACTAAAGGTTCCGACAGTGGAAATAGTATTAAAGCTTTCTATAACCTATAAAAGATATAATCAAACTCATAAAAAGTCAAATCCCTGATGAAATAGAGTATAAAATAACAACAAGTATGCAAAACAAATTACTTCAGTGACAAAGCAATTATACTTCCCAACATTATCCCATAACAAAATCGTCTCTATATTACTTACGTAATAGATGGGTCCACTTGTTTGTAAGCATGAGCAGCACAAGACCCACAGTATGTATATCCTGCATGGCTACAAAACAAAATATTTTTTAAACTTAATCATCGGATTCAAAAATCAAGATACTCTGGGAAAAAAAACTTTTGAAAGAAATATAATAATTATGATAAACATAACAAATGTATAGTTTAAAAAGTAATGTAACTAATAATGCAACTTCTATCTAGACCATAGTAGGCAACACATAATTGTTCTCTGTTCCAACTTTAAATTTTTAAAAGTATCAAGTAATTTTTTGGGTCAGAAGAAAAGTTCGATTTGGAGATAACCAAGGCTTACTTGAAGTGGCTAAGGTAACACTAATGCTGTATGAGATTTTAACATTCCTCTTCAATACCATTAACAGAGTATTACATAACAATAAAACCAAGAACAAGTCAAATCAGACCAAAACAAATAACCTACAACTAACAACTCACTTCCCACTGTATCTTCAGTGTTGAGAATTGACTTGGGCCCTAGCTGGTTTGGCTCAGTGGATAGAGTGTCAGGAAGGGTCCTGGGTTCGATTCTAGTTAAGGGCACATGCCCAGGTTGCTAGATCCTCAGTAGGGGGCATGCAGGAGGCAGCCTATCAATATCAATGATTTTCTCTCATCATTGATGGTTCTCTCTCTCTCTCCCTCTCCCTTCCTGTCTGAAATCAATAAAATATATATTATTTTAATTTTATTTTTTTAAAATAAAGAGAATTGACTTGGCCTTCTGTGTATTATGCCTTTCATTTTCTCTCTCCATTACACAACCCTCTTATCCTCTGGTCTCAGCATCAGATGAGGTCTCTTATCACCTATTGAATGTTTCTAGGACTCAATTTCTAGCTTCACTCATTCAAGATACATGTCTAGAAACATTTCCCTTAGTGTTTTCTCATTAATGTGTGGCCAGTGGTATATTGGTAAAATTTTAACAACTGGTTCTGCAGGTAGAGGAGGGGGATACAGTGGGGCCTTGACTTACGAGTGTCCCGACTAACGAGTTTTTTGAGATACCAGCCGTCTCTCGGCAGATTTTTTGCATTGAGTTGACAGAGTAATTTGAGTTAAGGAGCCCTTAATGAGTTCGGTCTCGGACCGGGAACGAATTATACTCGTAAGTCAAGGCCCCACTATATATACATATGTAAATAAGCTTATTATAAATTTTACTTAATTAAAAAGATATATACCACACAAATCTCGCTACTTCCTAAATAGAACCCAACAAACAACTGAAATATTTGTAATACTCTTTATTGCAAATTCCATGTAGCCAACTGACTATAAAGAATGTTTCCACTGATTTTTAGCTTGATCTTATTCATAGCCAAGGGAAGGCTGCAACTGACAAGAGTGAAACAATGAACACATCACTCATTCAATAATGACTTGAATAAGTTTTTTACAGGTTAGATAATAGTTTGCAAATACTAGAAAGAATATTTCCTTCCTCACTTTTTTGTGCTATTTATAATGTAAAGGCTACAGACACAACATAATTTTAAGTTTAATTTGCATTATTAACCTTTCCCCATTTTACTTTCTTAAGATAGAAAATCAAGCCCTGGCTTGGTAGCTCAGTTGGTTAGATCATTGTTCTGATACCCCAAGGTTGCAGGTTCGATCCACAGTCAGGGTACATACAAATATCAACCAATGAGTGTATAAATAAATGAAACAACTAATCTAGGGTCTCTTTCTTCCTCTCTTTCTCAAATAAAATAAAATGAAGTGATATAAATTTTTTTTAAAAGATAGAAAATCAACAAAAAATAAAAGCCCTGATTTGTAGCACTTTGCTAATTAATGTGGAGTAAATCATTCCCCACCATGACCAAATTCAAGATGCCTAGTAACCTGAAAAGACAAAACACTTGTCTTGAAGAAAATATTTATAAAGCATATATCTGATAATGATTTATATCTGAATACGTTAAAGAAGTCAAAACAACGTAATACTTTAAAAAATAGATAACTGCTTTTGTAAGTCGAAGAGTTCTAAAGATTGGTTGTACAACAATGTGATTGTACTTACCATTGTACTGAACTGTTCACTAACTGGTTGAAAATGGTTAAGATGGCAAATTTTGTTATGTGTATTTTTCCACAATTAAAAAACTTATAATAAGAAAGTACGCGAACAGCCGAAACCGGTTTGGCTCAGTGGATAGAGCGTCGGCCTGCGGACTGAAGGGTCCCAGGTTCGATTCCGGTCAAGGGCATGTACCTGGGTTGCGCGCACTTCCCCAGTGGGGGATGTGCAGGAGGCAGCTGATCGATGTTTCTCTCTCATCGATGTTTCTAACTCTCTATCTCTCTCTCTCCTTTCCTCTCTGTAAAAAAATCAATAAAATATATTTAAAAAAAAAAAAAAAAAAAAGAAAGTACGCGAACAGATACTTCATCAAAGCATATACTGGGATGGCAAATAAGCACATAAAAGAATGCTCAACATCATTTAGTCATTAAGGAAAGGCAAATTAAAACTAAAATGAGCTACCACTAAACACCCACTAGAATGGCTACAATTAAAAAAAGTGACCACACCAAGTATGGCAAGGATGTAGAACTGAAACTCAGTCTGTACTTGTGGAAATGTAGAACAGTACAACTACAATGGAAAACAGTTGGCAATTTCTTAAAAAGTTAAACATATTCCTGCACTATGACCTAAACCATTCCATTCTTAAAAAAAAAAAAAGTGTCCACACAAACATTTATATTTCCTAGTTTTATTGCTTATTTCAATAGCCAAAAACTGGAAACAACAAATGACCCTCAAAAGGTGAATGGATAAATTGAGGTGTATCCATACAATAAAATACTCTTCAGCAATAGAAAGGAAGGAACTACTGATACACTTAAAATAATTATGCTTAAAAATGGTAAAAATCAATAAACAAATATGCTAAGTGAAAAAAGTCAGACAGAAAAGTTCATACTATATGATTCCATTTAAATAACTCTAGAAAATAAAAATTAATCTATAAGGTGGGGCAAAAGTAGGTTTCTAGTTGTTTGTATGGAAAATAAGACAATAATTAATAGCCCTGACTGGTTTGGCTCAGTGGATAGAGCATCGGCCTGTGGACTAAAGGGTCCCAGGTTCGATTCCGGTCAAGGGCATGTACCCTGGTTATGGGCACATCCCCAGTAGGGAGTGTACAGGAGGCAGCTGAATTGATGTTCCTCTCTCATCAATGTTTCTAACTCTCTATCCCTCTCCCTCTCTCTCTGTAAAAAATCAATAAAATTTATATTTTTAAAAAGACAATAATTAATAAATAGCTCTAGCCAGTTTGGCTCAGTGGACAGAGCGTCGACCTGTAGACTCAAGGGTCCCAGGGTTCGATTCCAGTCAAGGGCACATGCCCAGGTTGCAGGCTCGATCCCCAGTGGGGAGCATGCAGGAGGCAGCCAATACATGATTCTGTCTCATCACTGATGTTTCTATCTCTCTCTACCTCTTCCTTTCTCTCTGAAATTAATTAAAAAATATATTTTAAAAATAAATAATATAAGAATGAACTCCACGTTTCACATACAACTGTAAATCTACTTTTTCCCCACCCTGTATCGTGACAGAAAATATCAGTGGATGTGAAAGAATACAAAAGCACACAAGGAAACTTTTGAGGATGGTGAATATGTTCATTTTCTTAATAGTGGTGACAGTTTCATAGGTGTACACATATCTCAGAGTTATCAAATAGTACACTTTACATATATGCAGATAGTAATCATACCACAATGAAGCTCTATTTTTTTTAAGTGATCCTCATCTGCCCTGGCCAGTGTGGCTCAGTTGGTTGGAGTGTCCTGGGTTGTGAGCTCACTCCCCAGTGTGGGGCCGATCCCCAGTGTGGGGCATGCAGGAGGCAGCCTATCTGTGAGTCTCTCTCATCATTGATGTTTCTATTTCTCTTTCCCTCTCCCTTCCTCTCTGAAATCACCTACCAAAAACAAATCATTAAATATATCACCCTTCTAAGCGCTCATCATGAGAAACTCTAATTCATTCATTGTCAAAGAGAATTTCTAATACTTTCCTTTACCCTGGCCCAGATATATTGATAATGAAAAGTCACAGTAATAATTATCAAATCTCACCACTGATCCTCTGTTCCTGCCCACTTCTCTTGCTAATAGAATCTATGATTCTACATTTATGTGGAAACAAGGTTTCATTAAGGGATCACTCCTATCAGAGGAGGCTTCACTAAGGGAATATCTAAGTGTTTTTTCTTTTGTGCTTAATAGCCAGAAGACCAATAAAAATCTGAGCTTTATAATTTTGAGTATGCATCATAAAAGCATGTCCAGTCTTTTAAAGGCTATTAAAATCCTAAATACAAAGTCATCCATGCTAGCTTTTCCGGGTCACCCTAGCTCCCAGTATAATTTTCCATGAAAGCAAATACAAAATTATACTTTAATACCTACAATTTATCATTAGACTAAACCAGTGGTCGGCAAACTCATTAGTCAACAGAGCCAAATATCAACAGTACAACGATTGAAATTTCTTTTGAGAGCCAAATTTTTTAACTTAAACTATATAGGTAGGTACATTGTTATTAATTAGGGTACTCCTAAGGCTTAGGAAGAGCCACACTCAAGGGGCCAAAGAGCCGCATGTGGCTCGCGAGCCGCAGTTTGCCAACCACGGGCGCTAAACCATGCCTCTAAAAACGGAGCCTTCTTTTAACAGAGAGTACTTTAGCTTCTCCCTTCATCCTACACAATAGACCCTTTACACTAGCAAATCCAGCTCCTAACTGTCCAGAATCTCTGTGCCCCCAAAGAGCTGCAGTCAAATAAGGATACAAGCCACTGTCCTTGATCATTCATTGGTTAAGTGACAGTTTCCCACGCAACAACCTTGCAGCATGGTGTAATTTAAATTCCTATGTCAGGAAAATTACCCAATACTACTTGACACTGACTTTCCCTGTTCAGTCTCAGGCTGCCAAGATTATAGGTGAATAGTATAAACTGCAATGCCAAGAGGTTACCTCACACTCTATAAGAGGT